GCTCCGTACTGTCCTGAGGAAGGCGGAAGAAGAACGGGTCATGGTCGTGTTCATCATCTTGGACTCTCTGCATGCGCGGAGTTCCTCTGACAGCGGCAATGCCAACCAGAATTCCATTCTCTCGATGAATCAAGTCGCATACAAGAACATAGATGGCCGCCTGGATCTCCACGTCGAACGGTATCTGGATAGTTTTCCTTTCGAGTACTATGTCGTCTTGCGAGATGTTGAGGCGCTACCTGAGGTGTTGTCGGGTACATTGAAACAGTTCTTCGAGAGAGTCACGGAGCAGTAATTATTTGAGATCGTAGACAGCCATATACATGTTATATTATCGCGATTGAGGTTCTACTATCCTCATATTCCCTATCATTACCGCTAGCGCGGGGGGTTTCGCTTCATTTCAACCGCCATATCTCGCTTCACGTAAGGTCCACCAATCACCCGTCAATACACTGAGAAATGACCCATCAGTAGGATACTACGACTTCCGCACCGGTCGCTCGTGCGTTTGTGCGTTTGTACCTCTCAGACTTCCACGACGTTGCTACTAAAATCGTTTCCTCGTTGCCCGTTGCCCGTTCACTGCAACATGTCTACCACAGACGCGACTGCCATATGATTCCAAAGTAATATTACCACGGCTCATCAGCTGAACGACAGCTCCAGATGACCATAATTGTAGAAAGCATTTGCTTAGTGAGACGGAACCGGGTACAGCGCGAAAACAAGAAAGCTAAATCGAACCATAATAAATGTATCGAATGTGTCCATTCATAGCAGTGCATATACCGGGGCAAATCACCTTCACCTAGCTTGAGGCACTCGAATCCTCTGTCCCGTATTCGTCCTCGGTCACCTCGTCCCCATTGATGGATGACAGGGTTTCTTCCGGCAGGCCGCGAAGACGATTGGCCTTGGTAATCCTGAGTTTGAGTCTCTTCTCAGGAGGCTCTTCCTGCTCCTCGTCGCTGCTGCTGCTGCTGCTATTGCTGCTAACAAGTTCCGTTGATCGCCGTTTTGATCCCGCGCTTGACTGGTAAAGACTGGACGGACGACTATGCTCGGTGTGGATGTCCTTGAAGAATGCGAATTTATCTTCCTCTTTGGCAGGAAATTCAGAAGCAGGGGCCGAACATGCAATTAGGAAAGCAGCGATAAACAGTCTGTGGTTCACTAGAGGATCGTCCTTCTTGACCTTCGGTTCATCTTGTCTAGTTCGCGGATTATAGATGTCTGACCACTTGTAGGTATCGGGACTAGCTCCACCGATCGTGATGATGGGGTGACGGCGTGGACGGTCATCTCCTGGCTCGGAGGAGGGGCTTGAGTCAACCGCTTGATAATGGACGTGACACATGGTGGCCAACGATTCAACGAGAACCTTTAGCGGAGTGCCTTCTTTCTGCTCTAAGTTCGCCATCGCTCGGCCATCCTTTATAGCCTGGTATTTTTCGTGACCGCCAGTGCGGTGTTTCCCAACCTTTGTGACCAGATCGTACGAATCGGAGACGTACGACCGCAGGTTGACATGCGACGTCTTGAAGAATCGCAGACACAACCAGTTGAGCACGTGCATATAGGATTCAAGATCGTCCGCGACTTCATGCGTCTTGATTCCTGGTCCTTTGAGGAGCGAAGCGGACATGAATTGCCACGTCCCCTAGTCCGAATCATAAGTAAACGGTCTAGCGGACATGATAAACCAGTCTACTGACCGAGCGACTTCGTTGCGTAGCAGCTCCAAGCTCCTCCTTATACTTGCACAAGTCCCAGTCGTTCAAGATTCCACGTACACTCACGCCGACAGCTTCTGGATTTGCATCAGGAAGCATGAGGATATTCGCAACACTGATGTCACGATGCATGACTTCAGCGAACTTCCATGCGTCTTCATGGGCTTCAGACGTGAGGTGAGTGACTGTATTTGGAAGCTACAAGCCGCGGCCCACCTATGAGTGCGTGTGTCATTACGACCACCAAATCCCGCCCAGTGGGGAACTCCAGGAGGGAGATGCCGATTTCTTCCACTACCAGACGGTTATGAATGTACTTCGGCATTTTCTTGTCCTTGTCGAACTCTTGTGCACATGTCTGTTGTGGAGAGTTATCTTGCCCCATAACATCGCCCCCGCATATCGGTGTCGCGATGTGTCTGACTCGATTCCTGTGCAATTGCTCGTAGACCTTTATCTCCGACTTTGACGTTTCGTAGCGCCAGGAGTCCCTGAGGAAAACGAATTTCCCAGTCTTCATATCGTAGGCGATGTATCCCCGTGTCCCGCGTCCAATCGGAGAGTCGGTGTGATGCTCGGGTTTACCAACGAGGAAGTAGCGGCCCCCAGAGTCCGCGCTGCCTGTCTCGTTTCTGCTATCCGAAGACGCGGGAGCATGAGCATCGGAAGACGTAGAGGAAAGGCGGGATGGAGCAACACCGGCTTGGACACTCGAAGACAGAGAGGATGAGTCTGGAGGTGCAGAGGTCGAATCTTGGCCAGCGCGGCGCCACGCCTCTACGGACACCACGTCCTGTTCGCGCATCCTGATCTTCTGGATCTGCCACCCACAGGTCATGGCAGCAGCGATGCGCTTACGACGATAGTCGCTCTCCGGCAGAGCATCCCTGGCTACATTCATCGACGTGATTTCGTCATTGCTGGCAGGCACTACCGTTGGGTCATATCCACGCTGCTCGGCGGTCATCTTGCTCAGCCTGTAGAGAAACCGGTACATCGGCTTGACTTGCTCCGAGTCCGTAAGGTCGAAAGCATTGGTGACGACCGCTCCAGCTCGATCCCAGCGCAGCAGGCGCGCTTCGACCCCAGTGATGACGATCATGAAGCAGAACACCCTATGTTGGTGATTAAGAATCATCGCAGCGTAGTCGGCAATCTGACCCCTGGCCAGCCGCCCCAGCTGTCCGCCAGTAAAGAAGTGCTTGCTGTTTGCCTTTGCAAACGGTGCTTTTGAAGCGGTGGACTTGAGCTCAATGGGGACACAGGCCCACGCCCATCGGACACGGGCGAGGGACTCCCCATCGGCGTCATCTGTCTTCTGGATTTTATAGGCGTCCATGGCTTCTTTGTTTGTCGGGTAGATGATCACATCTGGTCTCAACTTGCGGTTGGCAAGATTTATCTTGTCCGGAAGGTCGGCCGTATCTTTTGCTACGAGGTCGTTGCTTTGATGTGAGCTCATCACCGAGTTTGCGACAAGGGCCTTGGACAATACTATTATCAATATGCGACTGGACAAAAGAACGGGCTCAACACTCACGACCTCCTTCCCCATCTCCGATTCTCCTGATAGTAGCTTTTCCCGGGAGAACGGACGAAACTTGTTCTTCTCATCGTCGGTAGGGTCATCTCCGGGTGCATTGCGCTCAACGAATGCGTTAACTTCATACTCCTGAAGGATATCCTTCATATCGTCGCCAAGATCCTTGCGGTAGTCAGGAAGGTTCGCTTTTCCCACCTTGCTCTTCGCAAAATGTCTGCTACGTGTTGTTATACTGGATTTCAGAGGCGATGATTTTAGGTGAGATATGGATGTCCTGCTCTTGTGATGTGTCCCGGCCTTTGGGCGTAACTTCGTTCTGGCAGATGATCGCAGCTGCGAAGGAGGCTCAGGAGCGGGAGAAGAATCGGGGGGAGGGGTATAAGAACTTGAGGGAGACCGGGCGCGCAATGAGTCGCTGTGAGTCGCTGTAGACATTGCCGTGTAGTGCTAGTAGCATGAACTTACGGAGGATCAAGACGACGCGATGATATATATCGCGCGGCGGCCACGAGTCAGCAGCACGGAATCCTGCAACGTTCTGATTGTCAATTTATTCCACAACTGGCTTATCATAGAAATCACTCACGTTTTCAAGGTAATCTCAGGCGTCGATCGAAGCCTTGGACGGCCGGACGCAGCCTGAGCAACACATCAGTTCTGGCACACTGAGTTACTTGTCACACGCACTCAGCCTTACTGTGATTATGACACCGTCTCAAACTTAGGGACCGAGAAAAAGGCAACACGCGCAAAGAGGATTAAAGTGAACACACTCGGTGCCACAGGACATGTAGTTCGCGAGGGTGCGTTGTGCCCACGTGACCGATGTTGCACTTGATCCGCGATTACAAATCAGACGAGGGACCTTTCCGGACCGCCGCCCTTGTACCGGCTCTGCAACACGCCTACATCAGGAAAAATGCCCGAACCTACATAGCTCTATGTAGGTCCTGTAGACCGCATAGAGCGATAGACTACCCCCCGATTATGTAGTGCTATGTAGATGCACCTGATCTCGCAAAGTGCTATGTAGCACCATAGACCGCGAGGCTCGTAGGCTCCATAGCACCAGTAGACACTGCCTATCGATCAATTGATCATCGTTATCGGATTCTTTGGGTCTCAGTGCAGAAATTTCAAATTTGCATTCTCATGGATGATAATAATGATTGTAATTACAAGCTGTAAGTGACTAGCAGAATCATACTACTACAGTCCTCCACATACAAAAATACAAGCTAGCTGTACTCTAAGCATTCTATAGGAGTTGTGCCATCATGACTACCACCACGCAAACTATGGTGTGTAATCTCCTGCACCATAAATATGAGCCAAACGTGACACGGAACCTTAGCAAGATATAAAACTACTACCACCTTCCACTAAGCATGCACCACACAGTATTGGAATGTGGAGTAGCCAGCAGGTGTATTAGCCATGGAGTGGTAACTAGATATGTCAATCTGTGACTTACCTTAGTATCCACCTGACATATTATATAGAAGGGACTCTTACAAAGTCCTGCTTGATAACAGTGGGCAGGGAGAGGAACAAAGATGCATTGTTTGACATGGGGTCAGAGGCATATGAAGGGCTTTTTCGGACAAAAATATAATGTGTGCACTTGATATGCAGTATCCTTTCATGCACCTAGTGCTACTCAGTTCCCACATGTTATCATCTAGTGATGGTCGGTAGGATGCAGTATACTAGATAGTCTATTGTATTTGTTCAATCCATCATCTTCGTCTACTCACTTGTAACACCCTGCATAGTTTAAGCATGGCTTTCAATACATTCATACAACACTGCATATAACATGTTAGTATTTTTGTTGTACCTTGACCCACTGTGGCATCTACTGTATTGTCAACCATCCAACGTGGAGGCTTTACTTAAGTGTACTCAATACTTCATTATAAGTCATACAATGATGCCCTCCCTTTGTGCAATTTTCTTACTCCCGCTGTACTCGTGGCACAGTTATGATTTCATGTACTAACAGAAAATCATTGAGCATACACCGGTTGGAGACGCCTTCGATAATGGATTCAATGCTACCCTGGATTACAAGGAGCAGTCACTTAAGCTTACGAAAACAACGATGAATTTGATGCTGTTGAAATTCACGATACATAGTGACACGGACTTAGTTAGTTCTAGCGCGCAGCTTATGTAATACGTACAATACCTATGCGCTGGTGTTGAGACGCACCTCAGTTCCTTGCTACATGAAGGAGACTGAGGTATGTTCTTTTTACTTACATTCGGACTTATTTCTGACATACTGTAGACAGTGTTTGCCCTGTCTCTTACAGGTTAGTTAATGAATATAGTTCCTTGCTACATGAAGGAGACTGAGATGGTGTTTGCCCTGTCTCTTACAGTCCCTATGCGATCGTGCTCGCATCCCTCAGGTTGTGCTCCCGTCATTTTACTTACGACAGGTTATGAGCTCTGGCCCCTGACCGGATTGCTCAGCATATCGAGAACTCAAGACAAAACTCTATCACTTCCATCTTTCCACAAGCCTAACTTCTCACTCCCACATCACAGCACATGACGACACTCTATCCTGCGATGAATCAGCCGGCTGTGCCAAAAGGCCAGTCTAATTGTCTATACAACATCCCTCTGTTGGAAAACGAGGGCAGCAACTTCCAGCAATGGAAGTATCGTGTTGGATGGGTCTTGCGAATCCACGGACTCTATCTGCTGATAGATGGCACTGAGAAGGATCCTGGGACAACCAACCTTGTCTTGCAGGAAGCCTGGTGTTTGCGGAACTATGAAGCGCTCACACAAATTACGCTGATGCTCAAGGACAAACCGCTTTCATCGGTCATGCACATGGAGATCACGAAGGACACTTGGGACACGCTCAACAGGCGCTACAAGGGAGTCAGAAAACAGACAATTGCTTACCTCGTAAGTGACCTGTTTCAAGGCATGCTCAATGATGAGATAGCACTCGAGGACCAGCTCAATGCCATGCTGCAAAAGAGCCAAATTCTCACGTCTCTCGGACTCATCCTTGACAAGTCATTCATAGCAGTTGCCATGTCAATTTCCCTTCCCCCATCCTATGGCACCCTCCGGACCATCCTCATGATGCAGGACAGCAAACTCGACACCGAGAAGGTGATCAACAAGGTCCTCGCTGAGGAAAAGCACCGAAAAGAGGGCATGTCCGAGTCTGCGCTGCTCGTGAGAGCCAGCAAGGGTGTGAAGTCACCGGATAAGAAGGATAAGAAAAAAAAGAAGAAGTGTACCCACTGTGGCTACACTGGTCACACGGTCAACGAGTGTTGCAAGCTCAAAGTGAGTCAATCTGAGGCAGCTACCAAGGCTGACAAGAAGAACAAGTCCTCCGAAGGCAAGGAGTCCGCGAAAGTCGCCAGCATGCGCGATGTTGGATCTGAGATGCTCCATCTCTTTCTGGCTGAGGAACTGTCGTGCAACAATGCACTCCTTCACTGCTGGATCATTGATTCCGGTGCGTCCTCGCACATGTCCTCACACCGCGAGTGGTTTCTTCACTACCGCCCCCTTGCCATGCCGAAATGGATCTATCTTGGGGATGAGCATCACATCCTCGCTCAAGGCATTGGGCAGGTCGTCATCTCAGCCTCTCTTGAGGATGGCAGTACAAACACAGGCGTTATCCAGAACATCCTCTACTGTCACGAGTTGGTACGGCGGGTAATGTCACGAGTTGGTACGGTGTCTAGCCGTTTTTTAATTTTTCCCTTTCGCGGGCTCGAACCTGCGACCTCTGTACTACATGCCTGATATGGACACATCACTATCTACTGTACGATTAGATTAGATGGGCGGCAGTGCACAGCACAGCTCGGGCTCCGCTGACACAGCCTCTCTGACTCACTGGCCCCCGGGGCCACGTTAGCATGCTGCGCACGGACCAGCTGTGCACGGACCAGTGCGCACAGCCTCCCCTAAACTTCCCCTGTATATAAGCCAGCCTCTGCTGCCCTAGGGACCTCAGTTTTGACCTCTTGTCCCTAGGTCAGTAAGCATCCCTTGTATTCCTTTTCTTACTTCACTAATATATTATCTTGTCCCTAGCCTTAGGTTTGAGCGTAGCTCACCATCGCTTCGGTGAGATCAGTCGAACACCCCCAGCTCTCAGACTCTCCCCTGTCGCTTGACTTCAAGTTGCAACATTAGGTCGAAACTCCCCACAGCTGCCGGCGTTCCTCGGGACTCCACACACTCACCTTCATTTCCTATAGGTTGGGTGGTGCGCACCCCTACTATACTCTACGGTACATACAATACGTAGATAGTCTTACCATACATCGCCACCCCTAGAGGAACGAACTCTTCAGCACCTGCACTTTAGTGGGTGGTGCTTGTCCTCACGGACGCGTGGTCTAGGTTCCTGCTGCATACTAGCCAAAAGCAGTACTGGGCCCCACGTGAACTGCGAACCTCAGGGTCTTCTCGGGCGCCATAGAATAAGCTAGTTAGTACGGTCATTCGTAGCACGCGCACCTCCCCTTCCTCCCCCCATCACCGTGGCTGACGAATTCTTCGACTGCTCTCGACTCGAGCACGCGTTTGATACTCAGGAGCAAGTTGACGTCTCCCGCGACGACCCAGAGAGCGACGGATCGCGAGCTCCATTCTTCATCTGCGATTGACAGCCGTGCCCTAATCGTACTCCGCAATCCATCACTGCCGAAGAAGGGCGCTACGTGCCAATCAGACGAGTTCAGCATCCCAGCGGCCCCGCACTCCGGTACGCTGGCACCTTGAGATCCACATCTCGCCATGTCACTCCCGTCCCATCTCGACCTGCCTCCCCAAGCACCTGCATTCCCCAACCTGTCACCAGTACAGGTCAAGTGCGAGGAGATCCCAATCTCCCTTGAGGAGTTGAGGCAGTCACACAGCCTACAGCAACCCCTCAAGCGATCCCCCAGCCCTCCTTGGGGCCACGGTTGGAAAGAAACCCGAAGCCTGAGCCCAGCGACAGTCCAGCGGTTACTTGGGCCAGCTCGTCGTCAGCAATCTCGTCCTCGACTCCAGTCCCTGTCGTACGTCACCCCGCCACCGGACTTCCTCCGTCACCTTCACTGCCGTCGCCGCCGCGAGGCCGCGCAAGCACTCGCTCCTCGAGAAGTTCGCCCGGCGGATGATCACAACAGTCGCCTTCGCCCGCGGGCAGTCCTTCGTCCCCCTCGTCGCCGATAATGTCCTCGCCAGCGTCCCCTCCCGATAAGGAAACACTGAAGCTCCTCCTCCCGCTCCGCTATGACGGGAAGTCGGTGGTTGAGTGCAACCGCTTCATATCGCAGCTGCTCATCTACTGGGCGATCAACACAGCCCTTTCCACGATCGAGCTAAAAGTGCAGGTTGCGCTCAGCCTCCTAGATGGCGATGCCCGGACTTGGGCCACCCCCATCTTCTCTCAGCTCACCGCCGTCCAGATCCAGATTCAGGGAGCCATGACCCCGTTTGCCAACGAAGCGGCCTTTCTCACGGCGTTCAAGGCACGCTTTGGCAATCTTGACGACGCCACTACGGCACAAGTGGAGCTCACCAAGCTCTGTGCCGATAAGTCCATGCGTGAGAAACGCACCGCTGCAGAGTTCTCTGCATTGTTTAAGGGTCCGGCGGACCGTTCCGGGTATGGTGACCTGGAACTTTGCGACAAATACCTGAGCGGCATCCCCTCCCGCGTCTACCGAAAGATTGAGCTCGAGACCTTCACCACGTGGCGAGAAGCTGACACGCGTGCCACCAAGGTCGAGCAGATCCTCGACGTCAGCCGGGCCCAACGGCCCGAGCTGAACAACTTCTTCTCGGCTCGAGGTCGAGGACGCGGTGGGGCACGTGGCGGTGCCCCCCAATCACACGGAGCTTCAGCCGCCATTAATGCAGCCGTCAGAAAAGGAAACTTCCCCGGTAACTGCTTTGGCTGCGGGAAGCAAGGGTACCGACACTTCGAGTGCCCCAATTGTAAGGACAAACCTTACACAAAACGCGCCGACGCGCGGGCTACAGTTGCCTCGGGTTCCACCCAGGTTGCGACAAGCACCCCCGTCGCTTCATCCTCGGCGAGTACAAGCGCCACTTCAGCAAAATCGGAAAGTTCCGAGCTGGCGGACTTAGTAGCACAGATGAAGTCGATGCGCGAGGAGTTGGAGCACTATCGAGCGCTCAAAGAAGAGTCTTTTTGATCCGGTCCACGCTTCGTGCCGCATGCGTCGGACCTCGTAATAACAATTTGTACAATGTATTGGTGACCGCGAATGTTTACGAGTTGGACCATGGGTCCCAGCATTTCCACATCCTGGTACACCTCAAAGGAGAAAGACGGCACAAGGATATAGTAGCAATGGTGGACAGTGGAGCCACTACGAAGTTCATCAACAAGCGTTTCATGACGGAGAATCAAGTACAAACACGGAAATTGAAGGAACCAATCCCACTTTACAATATCGATGGAACCCTCAACAAGGACGGAAGCATCTCGGAAGTAGCCGTGCTACAGATGCAGATAGGAGATCACGTCAAGAAGACAGTGTTTACGGTCACGAACATAGGACCAGAGGATGTGATCGTTGGGTTGGATTGGCTACGCGAGCACAACCCTGAGATTGATTGGGAAATGGGCTCATTCAAACTGTCTCGATGCCCTGAAACGTGCAGTGCCAGGAAGACTGGCCAAATGGAGCAAGCAGCGACTGCGCGTGATACGGGGGACAGGCCCACAGCGCGCAGGCGTTCGCCAAAATCCAAGTGGTCGGTCATCGGTGCCTGCCGGAGTAAGGTACTCCCGGACTTTGAACCCGAAGAAGATCCGGTGGAAATCGAGTGGAATGAAACTGACTTGATCGAAGCCTGGGAGCAAGGTATTACGCTTCCCGGCGCCCCTCAGCTGTTCATTGCAGCCGGACATACGTACTCCCAGCTGTTCGCTGAGGAGGAGATCAAGAAGAAGGTCGTCAAGACCGCCGAGGAGTCGGTGCCTACACAGTACCACGAGTTTCTGAAGGTCTTCTCAAAGGAAGCTTCGGAACGGCTACCCGAAAGGAAGCCGTACGATCACGCGATCAAACTCGTGCCCAGTTACTCGACGTTCCATTCGAAGGTGTACCCCTTATCAAACAACGAACAAGAGAAACTTGACAAGTTCCTAAAGGAGCAGCTAGCGAAGGGTTACATACAGGAGTCGAAGTCCCCCATCTCGTCCCCCTTTTTCTTCATCAAAAAGAAGGAAGGGACACTTCGACCCGTGCAGGACTACCGCCGGTTGAATGCGATCACGGTCAAAAATCGCTACCCCTTGCCGTTGATCGCCGAGATGGTGGATAAGCTCCGCGGTGCCACGCTCTTCACCAAGTTCGATGTCAGGTGGGGATATAACAATATCCGGATCAAGGCCGGTGACGAGTGGAAAGCCGCCTTTGTGACTAACCGGGGACTGTACGAACCCCTGGTGATGTTCTTCGGCCTCACCAATTCCCCCGCGACTTTCCAGGCGATGATGAATGACATCTTCCATGATCTCATCGTTGGCGGAAAGGTCCTTGTGTACCTGGATGACATACTCATCTTCTCCACCAATCGAGAGGAGCATGATAAGGTCACGCGCGAGGTTCTTCGTTGCCTTCAGGAGAACAATCTGTTCCTGAAACCTGAGAAGTGCGAATGGGATGTTCCCAAGGTCGACTACGTCGGCTATGTGTTCGGTGGCGATGAGGTGGCGATGGATCCAGCGAAGTTGAAAGGAATCAATGAGTGGCCGGTACCCCGGAACAAAAAAGATGTTCAGAAGTTCCGGGGGTTCTCCAACTTCTACCGCCGCTTCATTAAGGACTTTGCCAAGATCTCGCGACCACTCGACCGACTCACAGGGAATGACCCATGGCATTGGGGCGAAGAGGAGCAGCACGCCTTCGATGAGCTCAAACGGCTCTTCGCCACGACTCCGGTCCTAGCGCTATACAATCCTAATCGAGAGACGCACATTGAGGTTGATGCCTCGGGCTACGCCACTGGGGGCGTGTTGATGCAGAAGCAGGACGACGGCAAATGGCATCCAATCGCATTCCGATCTCACGCTATGGATTCTGCCCAGCGTAATTATGAGATCTATGATAAGGAGATGCTCGC